GGGGCGCTGGCCGAGCTGGGGCGCGGGTGGCTTTGCCCCCTGCCCGGGGTTGTGCCCGCCTGGAGGGGGGGGGAAAGAGGGAGGAAGGGAGGGGTGGAGGCTGGAAGGCGGGAGCGTCTCTTCCCCCTCGCTGTGCGCCCAGCGCTGGGGGGCTCGCGGATTAGAAAGAGGAAAATCCCTTTATAAAGGAAGAGGGTTGAGTGAGGTGAGAGGAGCGCGTCCGTCAGAGCTGGGGAGGAGGAAGGGGGAAAGACGTCAGAGGGCTAGGGGACGTTGGGGGGTAGTAAGGGTGACTCAAGGGAGAGTGATTGTCGTGTCGTGGCAGGGAAGCGGGGTTAGGGAGGGAAATGGGGGTGAGAAAACGAAAGGGAATGAGGGGGAGAAAGGAAGAAGCAGGATCGTGCCAAACCAACGGGAAAGACGAAGAAAAGAAAAGAGATGCTCAAGGGAGACGGGCTGAAAGGAGGGCTGGAGGAAGGTGAGCTCTGAACCCTTGACTGCCCTCCTTGTCACCCTTTCTGCACTAATGCCAGGGCCTAACACTGGGCAAGCACCAAGCTCAGGCATGGCTGTGGGGGCTGGTCGGGGCCATCTTTCCCAAAAAATTAGCTGCAGCTGTGGTTCCCAGCTGCAGGACAGCTGGTTCTTGGGGAATCTCCCTTTTTGCCTTTTATAAACCTCACCTGCAGGGCTACAGCAATATCAGCTTTCCCATGAAAGGACTCTTGCCCTTCGTCTCCAAATGATGCTCGACAACGGGCCCGTAAATGCTCAGAATAAGGGTACGTGTGCAAAGAGGACCCACACATGCTCTTGCCCCAGTTTTTAAAAAGGGAAGATCACGCTGAGCTGTAGCAGTCGTTGCCAGCTCTTGAGAGGCAGGTAGCACGGGCCGCTGGCTCATGCAGGGTAGAAAAGTAGAAATAAAAAGCCCACAGGAGGATGGGACTCAGAACGGCAAAAGAACTAAAGCAAAAAGTATAAAAGTCATCTTAGACTCAAGAGGAAAGCTGTCATGTTGGGGAGATGTCAAAACGGAGAGGAGAAAGATGGCAAATCAGCAAAGCTCAGCCCTCTGCAAGGAACAGCCCAAGGGCTGGCACTTCCCTGCCTGTTCTGCCGACTCCCTGGCCAGCGGAGCAGCTTTGCTTGCCTGCTCAGGAGCTGCTGAGCACATCCCGCCAAGCGGCATGGCCAGCCCCAGACATTTATTAAGTACATGATGTGCAATAAATTAGGATTGCACACTCACAACAAGCGTGCATGATACTGCTCTCAAATCCCTGGGCTCCGTTGAAGAAACCTAAATAAAGGTAGGCAAAGAACCAAAGGTTAGAAATGTTACTATTTTTGTCAGCCAATCTCCTGGGTTGGTGAGTGACGCTGGTGATGGAACACTTGCCTTGGGTGGCTGCGGTAAAAATCTCCCAGTAAAAGGCAACAGAGACACAATCTGACACAAGAGATCATCAGGACACCTTCCAAACAGAAACCCTAACATCACTAAACACAAATATTAAGCAGAAGTCAGAGACCTTGGAAACATGTTGAGGGTGTCACAATTAGGAATAAATAAACAAGTTGCAGCTATTAAAATGTCATGGAAAGTGCTTGGATGTTAAATTAAATTGACAGAAAGTTTTAATTACATTTTAGGCTATTTTTCTCCAGTTTAATACAGAGAAAGATATCATGGCAACACAGAGTATGGAAAATTCTGGGACAAAAGTGTTAGCCAAAGTCTGTCTTATGCAAATTCAGAAAAAGCCAGCCAATGGGGAAAAAAAAGGTAAATCCTTTCTTAGATTGAATCCCAGCTTTGTACTTCACTGAAGAGTGTAACAAATTCCTGTTATCTTTAATTGGCCTAATTAACACCTGTTTATGGCACCGGAGTAGGGAAACTAATTTTTTGTTTGTTTGTTTGTTTTATTTGTGTAGCTCCTTTTGACAAATGTAATCTCTTTGATACTCAGGAATTGTCTGCAACCTTCCACCCAATTAATCAATTGTGTTGACCGAGTTTTGCCTTACACCTGTATCTATTCCAGTAATTATGTAACCACAAGTAAGTTAAATCATACATTCTCTCATGAGAATTTAATTTAAGTTATAGGTTCCTTGAGCTGATGTGGCTTTGGGTTCTGAAGCTGCCTTCACCTGGGTGCACCTGGGAAAAACCTAGACAATAATTTTGGTGAGGTGTGAACCTTTGCTGACTTAATAATTTACTATTTCACGTAGTTTTCTGGTGCTCTTGGAAAAAGACCCTGCTACACTGGATCCTTGTGTGCATTCTGCCAGCTGCATCCCAAAGGCATCCATCAACCACAGCCACACACAAAGCTAATTTCTCATGATCATATCTGAGGGTGTGCACAAAAAAATACTAGTATATTTTGTTGCTCTTGGGAAAAGATACTCTGTGCTTCCAGAGGTACTAGCTGCAGCTGCAAGACAGATTCCATAGTAGACCTGACTACATTTCCAAAGATAATTACTTCTGCTATCAAAATGCTTAGAACTGATGTAATCTTTTCCAGGAAAGAGGCAGTCCATTGGCAGTTTGTGGCTTCTAAAACAATTATTATTTGTTTAAATGCTTTCTTTTTTATTTTATTTTTTAAAGAACATAGCTTGAGAACATGCTGTTCAAAAAGAGATCTTAAAATGTAGTTTTTGTGTTTAAGCAAGTTGTCACAGAAGCCTGCATTTACTCACCTGGAATCATGTTCAAGCTTTTCTATCCTTGGTGGTGGATCAAGGCTTCCCGTCACCATGGGCTGCCTCTGCCCCTTTTGTAAAGGTCTTTTACTGGTAAGCGACAGTAGTAGACATAATAACCCCATCGTGGGGCGGGTCAAAGCTTACAGGTAGGGTGGATCCCTTACTGCTCTTTCATTTCAGGTTGTTAGATGAATCAGTATGAAGCATTAAAGAGTGATCTGTTGAATACTTGTATCTTGATAAACAACGTTTTGCAAATCACCCTGTATCCTCACTTCTGCCTGCTGCAAGCTTCCAAGAGCTCATTCTGCACTGGGCTATCCAGCTCTCAGTTTTACCTCATAGGCTTTATGAAACACTGATGAAGGGCCAGGTTTTACTTTAATTAGCCACAGTGCAAACCTGGAACAATTAGAAGTGTGCGGAATGCACTTGAGTATGCGTTTCCAGTAACAGAAACTGGCCTCAAGTCCTCTTTCTTTTTTTTTGGTGGCAGTTTTTCAAATACAAAAATGAATCTTTATTTCAGTACAAGCAAGTCCTTTGAAATTTTTTTTGTGGAGAATTTGTGCAGAGGCAGGATACCTATTAAGGATCAGACGACTTAAAGTACAGATTCCACCTCTGATTGTTTGAAAATGCAGTTTTTCATCCCAAATCAGATGGCTTAACTTTAGCTTTTATTTTTCCCGACTAGTCCTTGCTATGCAGCTATATCTGGTATTATTTCCTCCTTAATTTCTTTACACAGCAGCTGAGTAATGTTTTGTGGACTAGCTTTAATGTGCAAAATCTGTCATTTTTTTTTTAAGCAAAGATGTTACAAAATTTCCAAAGATTTCTCCAGCCCACATGTAGTTATTTGAACTTCCTCTTGGTAACAGTAAGGCTTTTACATTTTAAACCTCTGTCCATCACTGAGACTTTGCATAGAAAAAGATCACCCTGGATACAATTCATGAAGCTGGTGAAAATTAAAACATTTGTTTAGGGCCAGTTAGGCTGAACTCCCACTTGGTTTCTTTTTCTTAATGCTTCCTGATAGTTGGCCTTTCAGAGGCATCTGAACAGTAGACATGAGAGGGACAGAAACTGAAGCCTAACCCCTGTGAATATCTGTGTTAAGGACTATAATTCACTATATTCAAGACGGCACAGTTTTAAGTCATGATGTAAAATCTCTAAAT